TCTTAAAACGGACTCTAAAATGCACAGGCAGCCAGTGGAGGGAGGCTAAAATGGGAGTACACAGCTAGTGTATTGCTTTGACTTGCTGGTAGTTGTCTTAAAGAGCATCTTGCAGGTTTTTTTTTTTTCTACATTTATGCTTAAACTTGCTTGAAAATTACAATTAAAAAAGTGAATGTAGGATTTGATATGTTTTACGAGACATAAGGGCAGGAATCAGAAGGAAAGGAGCAATTTGAGCTCTTGCTCTTAAAAACGGCTTTTTTATTTTAAGTCATACGTCAAACGCGTCCATATTACTCACAAAGGGTAAAACATCTCCGCTCTCTGGACCGCGGGTATAGTTAGTAGTTGTGTTGAGTTTGAGCGGTTGTTTTTAGTGAGCTGTTATTCTTTCGGTAGTTTACATTGTATTTCACCATTTGAATCATGTGCAGTATTGTGTATTGCGCAGGCTGCACAAATACCAGCCTGGTCAGGACATCGGAGTCCACGATTAAAAAGAACCGGAGCTAGCGTTCGTTCCTGTGGCGGTTGTGCATCCACCCCCCTGCGCCACATATTCTCCACACTTTATCAGGGAACCGTATTACATCTCTCTCCCCCTTTCGCTGCTCTCTCTCTCCTGTCCCCTTCCTGGTACACAGGCACCGTGAAGACGTAGTGTGAGTTGCATTAGGTAACGTGTGGTGGCTGTACTGCTCCAGCCGGTCTCTTTGTGTTTGTTTTGTTTTCCCCCTGTCTGTGATTGTTTGTGGTGGCATGGTGCATGTCACTCCTGGCTCCCGGACTCAACCTCAACTACACCTGCTGCAATCAGCTGTGCACTCCTCCCCGACTACACACCTGCTTTCCATCAAGCCATTAAAATGCATACAACGGAGGCTCCACAAGCCTTTCTCCGGCCAGGATCGTCAAGTATCAGCCGTATCTCGCGTCTCTCTCCGGTACACCAGCACCGTAGTGTGAGGTTGCACATTTAGGTAACGCGAGATACGCTGATCTGTGCGCATTGTTTCTGTTATGGATCAGTATCAAACAGTCACTTAAGAGTAACGTTACTATATTATCAATGCTACTTTAGTTAGCCTGATATATGATAGCTAACTTCACAATGTTGTGATGTGACGTTAGCTAACATTCTGTAGCTAACGCCGGTCACTCACCAAGATAGCTGCCCAGTTCTCCACTGGTTCTCCTCACACCACAGCTCAATTTCTCTCCGATGGCCGTTATTTCTTCTAATCCTTGGCTGCTCCTGGTCTCTTTGGACGCCTAGCAGGCTCATAATTATAAGGTTGTGGTCCGTCATATGCATTCGAATATTCATGTTCAACTTCTTCTGTGTCTTCTGTGTCGAAACTAGCATTGGGATCCATGTTTATTAATACGTTACACCGGCCGCTCTCCCCCTTTTTTCCCCCATGTTACGTCACACGCGGGAGGTCACATGCCGAGGCTTTTTTATGCGGAAGTGAAAATGTCTTACAAAAACGACGCCAGATGTCACTGTAGTGTATATTTCTGTATATTTTTTTGAAAATCTAGTGTATTCATCATTTTCCTACACATTTATTCACAGGTGTCTTTAACCTCGAAGTTGCTCTTTAAGTCATTATTATGAGATAGCTAAGTCAATATAATGAGATAGTAAGTCAATATAATGAGATATTAAGTCAATATAATGAGATAACTGAGTCAATATAATGAGATATTAAGTCAATATAATGAGATAACTGAGTCAATATAATGAGATAGCTAAGTCAATATAATGAGATAGTAAGTCAATATAATGAGATATTAAGTCAATATAATGAGATAACTGAGTCAATATAATGAGATATTAAGTCAATATAATGAGATATTAAGTCAATATAATGAGATAACTAAGTCATTATAATGACTTACAGGATCTTTTTTTTTTTTCTGTGGCGCAAACAGGCTTCCATAATAATGTACTTTTCATATTTTCGACATACCGTACTATGTCATATTTTGTGATATTTTAAAACATAGTTTTCTTCATATTTTTAGACACACTATGCTGTTTTTTTTAATATTTTTGAAATACTATACTATGTCGTTTTTTTTTCTTATTTTCTACATACTATACTATGCAGTTTTTTAAATAATTTAGACATACTATACTACGTCATATTTTGTGATATTTTAAAACATACAATACTATGCTGTTTTCTTCATATTTTTTACGACACTACAGTATGTCGTTTTTTAAAATATTTTGAACATACTGTATTATGCTGTGTTTTGTTATATTTTGACACACTATACGATGTGGTTTTTTGTGTTATAGTTCAGTATATAGTTTGTGAGGTAGCTACGGTTTAATTGTTTGGTTTGTATACAGCCATTCGCTTTGAGAATTTGAAGTATTTGCAGCTGCTCTTATCTGAAGAGTTTGTTTTCGGAACACAGGGGGGACCCTTTTAGAAAAAGTTAGTTCCGGACTGTTCATCTACATTCAAAAGCCATAGTGTAAACAAATTAATTGTCTTCAGGCAGACTTGTAAAGGTCATTCCATTAATTGAAATATTGAAAACTCCCTGACAGCTCACCGTGTAGATCAGATAAACAAAGAAGGCCAGCTGAGGGAGGTTCTGCACCATGAAGACCCAGACAAAGATCTTGGCTTCCTTCAAAACCTGAAAAACAACACGTTTTTAGTTACAATAGTGACTGTTTGTGAACTTAACACCATGTGCTTCTGACAGCTTCTGTCATGTTATGTTATTTTCCGCCTTTTTTGTGAAAAGCAGTTTTACTGGTGCAAACATTGGCTCAAGAGCACTCACAGCAGCAGTCCCCACAGCAGCCGTCAGGCAGGCCCACACCACCCCCACCGCCAGGATGATGGTGTTCTGAGCAGACATGGACACGTCCGACGTTGTGATCAGGATACAGAGACATAACTGAAACACACCAACAACGCGCCATTAGAGAAATCAGTAGATTATGTGAAGGGATACATGTATTTGTCTCTTTTCTCGTGCTGGGAGAAAAATAATAATAATTTTAAAAAATTTGAATTTTGTATTCTCCCTAATTTTCTGCCCTTGATGTAATTCATTTACATTAATAATTGAATAAAGTAAACACCCTTTGCCCCCCGGGCCGGCAACATTTTGCATTTGCCCTGTACGATGGGCGCTGTAAGTGATGAAAGTGGGGGATGTTGGCTTATCTGGTGCCTGCAGCTCACAGCCAAAGTGGGCGTGGGAGCGAGCAAGAGAGAGAAATGCAATTTATGTAAACACATATTTCCAAGGCACTCCTTTATAATTATTTGGATAAACAGGTTTGAAATCATTTCAATGTATACTATAGGACGGTAAACCAAAAATATCGTTTAAACTTGAGAGATATAAAAATATGCATAAATAAATGTTAACTAGGAAAAACAAGATATAAATGAACAACAAAAATAAAATAAGTTAAATTTATTTGTTATTGGCTATGGTATGTTATTGGTTATGGTCACATACTTATTTGGTTATTAAAATGTAAACCAATCTTTTTCATATGGGTGTTTAGAGTTGTACCCCCTAGATCTAGTCTCTAGTAATATGTGCTTAAAGTGCACCAGAATGAAGCATTTTACTTTACATTTTCAAACATTTCTTCCGGGGGGGGGGCATGCCCCCGGACCCCTAGAGGATGTGACGTCCACACCCCAATTAAAACATGTTTATACAATACTGAATACATTTGAAGCCTTTTTGATGTATATAACCAACATGTCAATACGGTTCTGTTTTTGTATTGTATTGGTCTTTTGTAGAGATTTTTCATTTATTCTTTATATATTCTATTGAGTATTCCTTGGATACTTTAATCTTTCTACTGTACGATTGAAGTAAATGTGGGAAGCATTTAACAACAGCCATTTACTTCAAAGATTTTTCTCAATGTTATTCTTATTTTTGTTAATCCTGGAAGAATGCCAGAAAAAAAGACATTAGTAATTGTGATAACAAATTAAATAAGTTGTTAGGTTAAGTCAGGGCCGGTTTTTGGCATAGGCGGTCGCCCAGGGCGCCAGATCTAGGTAAAATAAGACATGAATGAACAACAAAAATAAAATAAGTTACATTTATTTGTTATTGGCTATGGTAGGTTATTGGTTATGTTCACATTTGATTATTAAAATGTAAACCGATCTTTTTCATATGGGTGTTTCAAACATTTCTTCACACACACACACACACACACACACACACACACACACACACACACACACACACACACACACACACACACACACACACACACACACACACACACACACACGTGTGTGTGTGTGTGTGTGTGTGTGTGTGTGTGTGTGTGTGTGTGTGTGTGTGTGTGTGTGTGTGTGANAGAGCCTCTCATAGCCCTTGAAAAAATAATAAATACACGCTCGGAGTGAGGGTTTAAGCCAATGTCAAGTTGAAAATGAGCAGCGTTAGGTGAAACGGCTGGTGTGTGTGGTTGCCTTTCAGAGGCGAGGAACTGTCCTTCGCTTGTTCTTTTGCTACCAATAAGCACCTCATCAAGCCTGACAGAAGGTTCTTGCAATGAGCGGTTGTTATCAGAATTACTGGTCACCTTCGTCCATAGCTAGGGCTCAAAGTTCGTTTCCCGTCACAAAAGGAGGTCATGGTTTCTGAGGTCTCATTTTTGGCACGGATATGTTATTTGCAATTATGTATTTATTCATATAGTGTGTTATTAGGTATTTGCTTGCCATGTGTAAACGTCCTCCACTTGAACTCCTTTGTTTGCTTACGTGTTTTAGGCTAAAGCGCGGCGGGACTTCTCTAGCAGCTTGACCAACTTCACAACCGAGCCGTTGATCTTTGTATGGCGCTTTCAGAGGCAAAATTGCTTTCCTGGTTTTTTTACCAATAAGCAGGACCGTCATCAGCTGGAAAGGTTCTTTGCCTAATATCGGTGTTGATCACGCATTGGCTGAGTGTCTTCTCCATAGCTGGGATTGTCTCGAAGTATTACCTCACAGAGGCACGCCGTGGCATTGATCTGGGGGTCTCATGGATGTCAGTCCGATGGAGAATTACAACAAATGTATGATCACATTTGTATATTATGCTATTTGGCCATTGTATAGGTTTTTTGTGCATGTAATGGCCTCCATTGGACTCCTTTGTTTACTTCCATCTAACACTTGTGCTTCTATTGGCTAGTGCTCCAACACATTGTACGTGATAGGCTAAGGGGCGGGACATCCGCGGTTGACCAATCACAACAGAGCCGCCCAGCTAACCAATCAGAGCAGACTGGGCTCTGGTTTCAGACAGAGGGTGAAAAGAGGTGCTGCAGCACAGGCAGTATGAGGAAAATAACTACTTCTCAACTTGTGGAAATTGGACTCTATGAGTAGCACCTGAATGCATCGTAAACATGCAATCAACCAATTGAAATAACTGGTCAAAATGTGAGCTTTAGTTCTAAGTAAAACATATGAAATCCTACATTTCCATTCAGCAGCTTGACTGTATTTATTTGTTCACGGCCCAACTGTTGAATGTACTCTCTATTACAAAAGTGTACTCTAATTAATTCATCATGGAGAAGTTGTTATTGATGTTAACTCGCAAAGTGGACCTTGGGATATAATCAAACTACCATAGGTCAAAACTTTACAAAGCTCCCTTTGAGCCACAGAATAAATTATGCATCCATATTCATAGTAGAGGCGTACTGGCCCTGATGACTCCGAGTGATCTTTCAACATTTTAACTCGTGTTTTTGGTCACATTCCTTTTATTTTAAGTGTTTCCTCTTTAGTGAAGCGTTTTTACAGGAAAGTTTTTACTTAACCCAGCGACACAACCATCTGTTTTGGAAATTAAACATTCCAGCACGAGTTTGCAAATGGACTTAAAACAGCTTGATTAAAATAAATGGGTGTTATTCTCAGCTTAAGGCAGGAATACTTGCACTTCTGGTCAAATAATTGTGTCTAGAACTGCAAGCTGCCAAATCTTGATTAAATGTTGCTGTTATTATGAAACAGCAGCCAAATTCTAACAGCATTTCAAATGGTATTAATCTGTATAAAAAACAAATTTCTTCCATTCAAAGAACATTTATTCTTTGCTCTGATTAATGCAGACATTACTATGAACACCTTATAATTTGTAACTCCACAGTGGAAACATTAAAGTGGCAGAATGAAGATTAAAGTCAGTAATACTTGAGTCACTGATGCCTCTACAAGTATTAACATTCATTCTACTTAGCCTTTCAAATGTGTACATTTCTTAAACTCAGAGTATATAAGGAAATGTAGAGTCGTGTGTGTGAAGTATAATCACTGTTTTCATTGCCAGTCACACTCTGCAGGCAAAGTGTCCGTCATCAACAGCTTTCACACCACGAGCCTTTTGGAAAACGTGTAAAAAATCTGTGAGAAGTGGCAACAATCCCACCGTTAATTATCATGAATCTCAATGTGTTGGCATTATAACCAACACACCGCGTACAGGAGAGGGAGATGGGGGGATATAGATGGGTATTTGCATGTTTCAGTTATTTTAATGGCCTCAGGAATGATCAGTGCGAGCAGGGGATGCCATTGCTTGCATGTCTGTTTCTTAAATGAAAGACTGCATTATGAGTTAATGTATTCACGCATCAAATAGAACAAGATCCTGTTCTCAAATACAGTTTGATAACAATCCGTCAGAATATCAAATGTGCTTTTCTGCTCATGCCACATATGGACCGTGACACTTTCACGCTGAATGTATGAATCATTTATATATATACGATATGGTATTCAGAACTTGCATTGATTTACAGGTTTAAACATTTACATATGGGCTCAACTTTGTGAAAAAGATTGCACATATATATTTGGTTTAACCAGTTTAGCCCCGAGCCTGCTTTTCAGGTCTCAGGCTCGAAAATGACATTCCCAGAACAAATGACCATATCTTCACTTCTAAAAGGGGTAAATTAATAATATTTTTTCTCAAAGCAATGATAAACCTGTGAGTTGGATGTATTCAGAATCAATATAGATGTTTTTATTTTAAAGTAAATTCAGATTGAACATAGTAACAAAATGTAAATTATAGTTTCCGTCTAAAGAAAAAACAGTACTTATAGTGAAAACCACCCTTGAATGATGGGATGGTAGACTAAAAGCTTTAGGAATCCAAACTATAACATATAATAAGTACCCTGTATCAAGATTGATGCAAAACAAGTGAAATTGGACCTTTTTAGAGAGATTTTGAAAAAAAAAGTCCAGTTTGACTCACCTCTGGGTCATTTGGGTGTATTTGCTGTATCTCTGGAACCCATTGGTCGATTTGGGTGATTGACACCTCTTTGTAACCGTTAGAGCCAATAGAATCTAGGGGTGGTTCCTAAATCCACTTTGTGAGAGAGTGAGAGTGATGCACACGTAACATTGTCTGATAGCTGAGTTTCTTCCCGTTAAATGAGTATGACACATTAATAGGTAGTTCAATGTTAAGAAGCCCTGAGACACAGTTTTGCGCAATATTGTTGTGATTGCGCCGCCGGCGGGGGGCAATCGGGCTTAACAGGTTAATAGGCTTTGACTGACATAAAGAGGCTTTGAATGATTGTTTTATCCCTCACACTCACCAGTATCTAACTTATTTCAGTCCTTTTATATGTGAGGTAACTTCAACTTCTTACACATATTGAGTTTTTTGACATAGTTGATGGATACACAGGAAGTTCACTGGCAAAGTGAACCTTGGCTAAAGCTATCAGGAATACAACTAGTGTTGGTTTTTAAAGCAGAAACAGAACTTTTCCAGAAGAGGTATTATTGTTGGTGCTGCTGTCGTATATCTTTCAGTTTTCCTCAGAGCTACCAATACACACTGCATTTGTTCCCCCAAAAACTGCACATCGGAGATGTAGATACACCCAGTAGTATTAAAATTGAGCTTTGTGAAAATAACTTTTTGTATTATTCCCCCTCTTTGCCTTCCTTTCCTTCTCCGTCAACAGGGCTCTTTTGTCAGGAGTCTCTACAGTTAATGTTACTCCTGTTGTTCTGGTACCCGGGGATAGTTAGACATTATGTTGAGTTGCCTCAGAGCAAAACACTCAGCTGCTATTCAGTGATGCAGTGTTTATGTCTAGAGTTTATATTGTGAAATGGAGTCAGCAGCACCCCAAAGATAGACGGAAGAAATCCTGAATGTTAGGCTTATAGGGAACCAAGTTAAATAGACTGGTACAGGGATGACGCTTTTTAGCTTAGCTTTAAGTTTAGCATGACAAAGGGTCCCTAGACAAAAAGTCACTGGTGTGTTTCCATTGGACGTAATCTCCACATATTAACACCACTTAAGTAAATAAAGGTAACCTATCATGCAAAATGCACTTTTGTACATCTTCTATACATGAATATGTGTCCCCGGTGTTCCAGGGAACTCACCAAGTGTCAGAAAACACAACCCTCTCT